TGAGAATCTGCTCAATGAATTGTAAATCAATCGCTATTACGTTTTGATTAAATGAAAGTTGTTGTAACTGTAAAACTGTTTTGATTAGATGTAAGTTGCTGTAACTGTAAATAAATGTAATAGCCAACTATGACTTTTTTTATGTAATTGTGATGAAATACATGAGTATAACTATGTTTAATAAAATGAGAAACAAGCTTACTTTCTCTCCCAATTGCCAGAAAACGCCCCTTTTCTCGAGAAAATTCGAGTACAGTTCATCAAATTTCTAGAGGTGTTCGACGCCCAGACAGAGAACGCGCTACGTGTGACTAAGATAGCTATTGTACAGTCTGCTAAACAAGTTATTTTAAATAGTTTTTAATATTTTTAGGTAATTAAATTTTTAAAGTGTGAATAGTTTAGGGATTAAATTGGTTTGATTGGACTTTCTTAGAACGTTTTTAAAAGCAGCTAAAGATAGTATGTAGAATTGAAAATAATTATTATGCCATAAAAGGTGTTTTGGAATTCCTTCAACCTTTTGAAATTGAGTCAGAAAATATAAATTTTATAGGATAGCGGAAAATACCTATAATTTTTTTGTAGGCCTTTGTAAATCGTGGAAATAGTTTATATTTTATTTCTACCTTATTAAGGAAAATGGTACCTATTATTAATAACGGTTGTTTCTGAAACATTACTAAAATTTTCGAAATTTTGTTTTTCTACAAAATAATAAACTATACTATTTAGAAAAAAATTTATTTCTCTTATAATTTTATAAAAAATAACGGGAATATTTACATTTCTTGATCTAATAAACAAAACGATAAATTATCTCGACGAATGACACCATGTTCTAGTACGGAAGCTAGCTTTACATTTTTGTTGGTGATTTCATGGGTTTCATATCAATTTTTTGTAATTGTAGTTTACACGTACATATACCTCTTAACACTTGTTTGCTTTATTAAAAAAGTGTGTTGTTGTGATTTACGTCGAAATAAGTCAAAAACAACTTGAAACCCCATATAAAATCAAAAAGGAGAAACGGAAAAAAATTGAGCCTGTAAATGAACACAACTCAGAAACAAAAATAGCTATCTAATAATAAAAAAATAAAATTTGATTCTTGTGCAGCTTCATCTATATCATTAACTGTTTTTGGTTTTTTAATGGTTTTTCTTGGTGATGAAAATTCCGATATCTCACGGTTATAGATTCTTTTTTTCTCTCCAGAAATGCGGACGACAGTGTTTTTAGATACTCCTGTGGCTGCAGCAACACGATCATTTACATTTTTGAATGGTATTCAAGGTGAATTAAAGTTTCCTTCTCTTCTCATAAACTCTATAACATTGGCTATTTGTTCGCGAGATTGACTGTTAATAATGCGGCCTCTTAATTTGCTATTAAACTCCATACTTAGGTTCTATTAAACTGTAATGAGCAAAAAACACAAACGAAAATAAAAGAAATGTTTTAGCGAAATTTACATCTGACATTTACGTCTGAATGAAATAGTGAAATACTTGATGCGCAGAGTGTACTTTCATTGCGTAAATCCGTCGGGATGCCTGTCAGTAGTGCTTTCTCTGTCTAGCCGTCGAAAGCCTCTAGAAATTTGATGAACTGTAGCTTCAATTCTTGCGAGAATTACCGATCTTTGCACACGTGCGCTCAGAAAACAGTGGATGCTAGAAAAAATGTATATGCCACAGTTTTTCGTGTCTTTTTTTCTCTTTCATCTGATGGAAACAGTTTTCTATTCAGATAAATAGTTTTCGAGTTATTTAAGAAAAAAGTACGAGAAATCAAGAAAAAATTGTTTTGCAATTTTTTAAAAAATTATTGCAGATTTCGCCACTCAACCCGTCATATATATCTTCTCCTATTTCAAGTTTTTTTTGTAAATAACTGAAAACCAGATGTTAGAGAACAAAAAACAAGCTTATCACCAAGTTGGAACTTACACTCAGGCTTAGGATTAATTTCCTAAAATTTTTAAAGTATACCTTTTTGTGTATTTTTTTGTGCTCTTTCCGATGGCGTAGTTAGTTTTTTTAAATATATGTTTTTGTTAGATGTTTTCGGAAAATCCGGAGAAAATCATATGGGAAAAAAATTAAAAAAAAATACGCCTTCCGGTTTCCTGCGAATTCCCGAAAAATTATGGCAGATTTCGCCGCGGGACTTATTTTATTTGAGAGCCAACAAAAAAATACGCAACTTCTCTCATGGGCACATATGTCTAACATTTATAATTTCGTCACAAATTCATCGCAAATTTTATGTCAATGGTTCTGATCAAAGAAACGAAAAAACAACTTTTTGGTAAAAGCACTTCTGCCGGCGAGAAATTCGCCATTAAAACTACCTGTGCAATGAATTTCTGAACTATTTTTGCCTCCTCTTTCGATTGGTGCATTTACTTTTACTATCGGAATGATACTTGCCCAGATAATTAGCATTTTTACCATGGAAAATTCCGGAAAGCCCGGTTTTTCCTAATTTAAAAAAATTGAACAACAGCTACATCTTTTTTTCCTTTTTTTTGGAAAGATCACATCAAAAAACATAAGGTCCACTTTGTTTGAACCAATTACAAATTAATGTAAGCTCGAAGGAACTTTTTTTCGTTATTTAATTGGATTATTAGTGTATTCATGTAGAGCAAATAACGTATTCTGATTTTAATTTAGATAGATCACTCACAACTTTTTTTCGTTTGTTTTATTTTGTTTATTATTATTACGTTTTTGTTTACTTTAATATTTTTTATTACAATGTGTGAAAGTTTATATTTTATTTTAGAAATATTACTTATTTAGTTTTATATTAGTACTTACAAAAAGTATTTTTTTTTTCAAAAATTTTGCTTTTTTTAAAATATAGGGGCGGCATTTTTAGGCCTGCACAAAGGCGGCAGATGAGCTAAGAATGGCCCTATTACATATATTAAAAGTAAATGAAAAACCCTCAAAAATGAAGACAAGAACAAAATAAGTACGTCTTCGATAAAAGTAATTTTAAAAAACAGACTCCAAAATCGCGCAGATGCCATCACAAATTCAGTTTGCTTATGTTCTTATAGATCCCATCATCAGATTTTGACTAAATTTATATGGAACCACCTTTGAAGTATCACCTCTTCTAACAAAAAAAGAATCATAGAAATCTGACAATGCACTAAAGAATTGTCGCTAAACATACATAAATAAAATATTCCTTTTTTTGAAGTCTGTTAAAATATAAACAATTGTTTTGGTATAATAGGATACCAAATAAGATGCTTCAATTAAAATTAATAAAGGAAAATTCTTGTTAATTTTGGATATTATTAAAATTTCTGCAAACTAGACCAGAGGGATGAAGTATCGTTCCCAATCTGAAGTTGGCTGGTTTAGAGAAAATGCTGACTTCCGAAGCTATGTGGTTACCATGGATGAAACTTAACAGGCATCTAATGCTCGAGCTAAACAATTGCATTGCCGCAAAATATTATAGATGTTGGTTGCGGTACGCATATCGTTCATAATGCTTTTCAGACTGCTGCTGATCTATTACCTATTGATATAGAGAGCATAGTTATGAAAATTTACTCATTTTTTATCACATCTATACTGTGAGGGTACACATATTACAAAACTTTTGTGAAGAGTCAGACACAGAATATAAAAAACTTCTTGGATACAGCAAAACAAGATGGTTCCTTCCTGTAGTAGAAAGGATTTTAAATTTATGTCAGCAGAAAAATGTCCGTTAATTATTAAACAATTTTTTTTAAATGAATCATCGGAGCTTTGGCTTAAATTTCACTGAAAAAATTTCCAAATGGAATGAAGATAACTTTGAGGTGGGTGGAGATTTTTGAACATTTCTTTCAGGAAAATATTCCTTTTACAAATGTAGAAAAGGTGGTTGAATAATGTCTGTGTCTTCCGGGAACAAATACTGTTACGGAAAGAATTTTTACAGAAGTTAATAAAATCTGGACTGTAGAAAAGTCCCCGCTCCAAGTAGAGAGTGTTAAATTTAATATTAACAGCAGTTGTAAATAGTTTTTTGAAAAAATAAAGGACATTAATGCATTTTTAAAAGCTGTGCATAACTCGGAAAAATATGTATAAGTGAATTTTTTCTTAGAATTTAAATAATTTTGTTGTGTTGTTAGATTTTTATTTATTCATGTTATTTTAATTGTAGGCTTTTATGATTTCTTGAAAATTGAGAAATAATTTATGTTCTGTTTTTATTTATAAAAGTTTCTATAGGTTTCGTTGCACAGATAACAATTTTTGTTTCGATTTCCGTTTTGAAATGTTTATAAATAAATGAGTGAATAACTTATTCATAAAATGGTTATTTTCTCCAGAAACGAATCAGGCAATCGTTAAGAAGGTGTCAATTTGGTTCTCAAAGGCCTAAAAAATCGGTGTTCCAAAAACTGATGCTGGAAAAGGTTATTTTAGAACTCTTATTGAGGGATCAATGTATAGCTCAACAATGTATAGTTACCGTACAAAAGTAATGACAATACATGACAAGCTTACCCACTAGATTTTACAGCATTATTGTACCAAACTGATTATCAGTTATTGGTCAGGTAAGGTGTATGATTATCGATTATATTATTCAACTAAAAGTAAGGAAATTATTACTTTGTGAGTGATATGTATCTGGGTAAGGGTGAAACAATAACTGGGGAATATTATTACTCGTTATTGGCTGGTCTACTAGAAAAACTTAATGAAAAGGGTCGAAATTAAACCCTCCCCTTATTCAAATGATATGGCTTCTTCTAATTGTGATATCTGTCTTAATTGAAAACAAATTTCTGTAAGACAGTAAATACCTAATTTTCTTCCAACATAGAGGCGCGTTTTAAGAATTTTTTAATAAGTTCTAGCGCTTATATTTTGCTCTGATTTATTAGGATTTGGAGGCAAACATTACGTCTTTATACTGTTTTACATCGTTAGAAATTAAAAAAGGTCTTAAATAGGAAAAATAAATACCTTGGAAATAAATTTCAGTACGGTATATAATCCAGTTAATCTAGCAAAATTCTCAAGACAACCAACGAATCAAACACTCCGAACAACTCGAAAAAATTTCCCGAAAAATCTAGGTTACTTCCATTGGTTTACTTTCCACGAAACCAAATTCAAAAGTTCCGAATGCCTCGTATCGGCCCCGCGAAAAATCGAAAGCTGCCACACTAAAAGAGCGATCAGGCGAACGCAAAAAAGAGGAAAAAATTGAAACGCGGTCACATTTTTCGAAGAACGCTGCGATTGTGCTCGGCCAGCCGCGATTCGAGCAATGCTGCACGCTCGATTGTTTTCATCGGCCAAACAACTGAACTACCAACAACTCACACTCTTTGATGTTGTTGCTAAATGTAGGTTACGCTCCGTTCTATCGGTTCGTATCGCTATTTGGTATCGCCGAAGCCGCACAAAATAATACAAAAAGGGCTTTCTATATTGGTGCACAGAGGCGTTCGTCGGGAAAGGAACGGTTCGCAGGTTAAAGGTCATTCTGACGGAAGAATTGACTCTTGTAACATGTCGTGTGGATCCGATTAAAAAAAGAAAATATTCAGCGGTTCGTAAAAAATTACCGTATGATATTCATACAGGGTGTTTTTGGAATACACATACATAACAGGTTCTTTCGTTCGTCCCACTGGTGTAGGAATGAACTACACCAACGAGTACCATACCTTTCGTGGATATTTTCTCCACTAGGTATTTAGCAGGAGTAAATTACACTCGACATGTGCATCAGGAATAAGCAGGCAGTAAACTAGGTAAGTAAGGTGATGTAACTAGTGTAATTTACACTGGTGGACAGTCACTGACTGCACCAATAGCGAGCGAAAGAACCTATTGAAAGGGGTTAATATTTTAAATTACCTCGAGTGCATTAAAAAATTATTTTTTTAAAATACATGTCAACAAGGTTTTGAAATTCGACTTTAAAACTGACGAATGTCACTGTCATGTTGTGGTAGGTTAGTTAGAAATTATTTATTTTAATTTAAATATAACATTGTGCCGAATTTAGTTCAATGCCAACAACTGCCAGAAGGTCTGTTTTTGACAATTTTGTCAGAAGCATTTTAATTTAATTTTGTTTTTCTTTATTTTTATATAATTATTATACAACTAGCAGGGCAAATCCTAGTTAAAGGTCAGGACATCGAGATAATATGTAGTTATTATAAATACACTCATATTTTTCATGAAGGTTTCACTTATTTGTTTTTATTTATTATTTATTTTTAATTTACTTTTATTTAATTTGAATTAATTTTTATTTATTTATTTTTATTTATTTTTATTTATTTTTATTTATTTTTATTTATTTTTATTTATTTTTATTTATTTTTATTTATTTTTATTTATTTTTATTTATTTTTATTTATTTTTATTTATTTTTATTTATTTTTATTTATTTTTATTTATTTTTATTTATTTTTATTTATTTTTATTTATTTTTATTTATTTTTATTTATTTTTATTTATTTTTATTTATTTTTATTTATTTTTATTTATTTTTATTTATTGTTATTTATTTTTATTTATTTTTATTTATTTTTATTTATTTTTATTTATTTTTATTTATTTTTATTTATTTTTATTTATTTTTATTTATTTTTATTTATTTTTATTTATTTTTATTTATTTTTATTTATTTTTATTTATTTTTAATTTTTATTTATATTTATTTATTTTTATTTATTTTTATTTATTTTTATTTATTTTTATTTATTTTTATTTATTTTTATTTATTTTTATTTATTTTTATTTATTTTTATTTATTTTTATTTATTTTTATTTATTTTTATTTATTTTTATTTATTTTTATTTATTTTTATTTATTTTTATTTATTTTTATTTATTTTTATTTATTTTTATTTATTTTTATTTATTTTTATTTATTTTTATTTATTTTTATTTATTTTTATTTATTTTTATTTATTTTTATTTATTTTTATTTATTTTTATTTATTTTTATTTATTTTTATTTATTTTTATTTATTTTTATTTATTTTTATTTATTTTTATTTATTTTTATTTATTTTTATTTATTTTTATTTATTTATTTTTATTTATTTTTATTTATTTTTATTTATTTTTATTTATTTTTATTTATTTTTATTTATTTTTATTTATTTTTATTTATTTTTATTTATTTTTATTTATTTTTATTTATTTTTATTTATTTTTATTTATTTTTATTTATTTTTATTTATTTTTATTTATTTTTATTTATTTTTATTTATTTTTATTTATTTTTATTCATTTTTATTTATTCTTCTTTTTTTTTTATTTATTTTATTTATTTTTACGATACTCTTATACAAATTTTCACTCCCTATTTCACCCCCTTAAAATTTGAAAATCCAAATATCTTGAAACACTAATTATTTATTTATGATGAGTAGCTATAATTCCAATTTTCAAATTCCTACCTTTAAAAAACGATACCCCCATATAAACTTCACCCCCCCCCCCCCCCGTTTTTCACCTTTATATTTACTAAGATTACGCTACGCCCCTCGATTTTATGTTTGCGTCTAAACATTGCCAAGATGAGGAGAATGGTGTGATGACTGGTACCTAGGACCTATCTAATCATTTTTTAGCTTTAGTACATTATCTACTTCATCATTATCTTTCTTTTCAATAAGACCCTTTAATTAAAACAAAAATTTTTAAGTTAGTTATATGTAGTTATTAAATTTTTAACTAAAACAGATGGATTGTTCATCTACAAATGAGTCTTCTTTCAGTTGTTACACAGTAAAAAATTACTGAATATTTTCTATTCAAGAAAATACCCCTATGGGTATTACTGCCACCACCTGCACCAATATTCTCGTTTTCAAAGATTACACAAGTTTGTTAATTGTATTAAGATTAGATTGCCAGAGTATATTTTCAAAACTCTCGCATATCTCCCTACTTTCTGCTTCTATAGCAATTGATGGTCTAGCTATGCTTTTCTTAGTCCGTCGACTTAATATTGTAAAAATGATGTCGACATATGATGGCTCTTAAGACGTTTTTGTTACTTTTATGATTCCTGTGTATGTCTAACATACAAAATTAATGTATCTGGATCAGTGGTAGTTTTGCTTTTCAGAAATTTCCATTTATCCACAATTTACTGTGTACCAAATAAAATTCAATTTTACAGGTAATTTTCTTAACTGTTCCAGAAAACTATTTAGCAGAGGGGGCTATTTTCTTAGTGAGGTTGTGGGCTACCTCTACTTTCAAATGTGTAGATGAGCCAGAGGTAGTAAACCTGAAATAAATAAAAACAATTATTATAATATAAATGTTCCAAAAAGTAAACAATATTACTTACATGTTTATTTATATTATTTCGTTTGATTTTAATACTGCTTCTATCTATTGAAGTAAATGCTTTAATTTTCTTGGTATTTGCCTTCTATAGAGGAATGTTCCATGATTATTCACATACCTTTTTACATAAGAGCAATAAGCATTTTCCTCAAAATGCTGAGAACAGACATAACTGAGTTAAGCTAAAAAATAATTTCTAAACAATTTGATTAATGGTTCGTTCAAGTTAAGTGCTCGAAATTCGTAGGAGACTTAATAAATAAAAAGCATTTAGAATACAACAATAGGAACATAATTAAAGTAGTTACTGTTACGAATGGAAAGATTTAACATAAAATCACCAAGGAAAGCAAGGTTTTCAAGATATTCGAATTACATAAATTTTGAAGCCCTCCATTTTTACTTTACTTAGTAGTGTTCTACTTTATTAGTTGTACCGAATTATAGTTTAACAAAACGCACTTAGCGCGCTGCTGACGAGGTCAAACAAATTAATTACCAACTATTTACAGGGAAAGCTGCTACCCTGCTCCCATACAAACTTTCACCCCCATTTCCCTCCTTGAGACGTGAAAATCCAAAACTCTGTAACACGTCATTATTTATTTTTGCTAAATATCATGTTTCTAACTTCAAAGAACAAAGACTTTCATACAAAGTGCTCCATTTTAAGCTAATATTATTCGTTTCTGGTTCGCTCTAATGCTGATTCTTCGTATTTTTCACACGCACTTGTGCAAAATGTGTTGAAAAACGTTTAGTGACCGATACTGTACGCTACGACATTTATAAAACTAAAAATAGATCAGTAGTTGACAAGGACCAAACTTGATAACAATAGCGTACTTTAAATTTTTTTCTAGAAAACCCATTTCAATTTGGGAAATCTATAGTTCAAGTGTTCATGGGTAGGTTTGCTTCATTTAACCCACTTTAGTTTCGACTGAGGAATCTACAGTTCAAATGTTTATAGGTATACTCCATTCCAGAACGACCTGTATAACAATATTAGTTTTCAATAACAAATTGTTTTCTTTTATTTTTATTTACAAGTTCATGCACCTCTAACGAAATCATAATATCCGCTGCCGTATCGTCTATATGAGGATATTTTATTTTATTTCGTTCCACGTATCCGACCATCAGCAACGAGCGTCCAGCCCGACTTGACCGCCGCAAATCACCTTTCAAAGCCTACCAACGACTATTCTCTATTCTTTAATCACGTTTTAGCATTTAAGCGGCATCGGTATCGACATTCGAACACGTTTCTCGAAAAAAAAAAAACAAATACCAAGAAAACTCCGCTGCTATACACAACGTTACTTTACGTTTATTGTGTTAGATATTAAGTAAATGGCAGCAACAAAGTGAGAGGTTGGATTAACAAGCTAGCGGCTCGGTTTGTATTAATGAAAAAGGGTGCGGGAAGGTGCTTGACTGGTAGCAGACCGTGCCAATATGATGAAATATTATATTTATACTGCCGAAACTAATCTTAGTTTAAGCAAGAAATATATCCGTTTGTAACATAACTCTAACAATCGGTTTCTTTAGCCAATCATATTCGCCATCGTTAACCTTTGACCCTCATAGTGATGATTTGGTTCATGCTGTTATATACGGGCTTTGCGGCCTGACGCCGACCCTGTTCAATATTTCTTGGTATGGGTTTTTATATGTACTTCGAAATAAAACTGTATCGAAATCATAGGTATAAGACAAGCCAGTTTGAATTCGATAGTGTAAGAATGATTTTATTTTCTATACAATATTATTAAGTTTTATTTTACGAAACGCCCGGTTCTTTTTAAACGCACGAAATATTTGTCTTCCAAAATAGCCACAGACTATGTTTACATTAACACCATTAAGATATGGAGATATCGGATTACGAATATGGGAACTAAGGGTAAAATATCGAAACAGGCATGAAATT